ATTACGTTCCGAGGGCTCATTGGGACCACTACTAACGGTAAAGTGAAATAAACTTTGTCACAGATGGATTAGGACTCAAAATTGTTTGAGTTCCAGTTGAAGTGATACCCGTGTCTATGACGTCCCGAATCCCCAGAGTTCATTGGGACCCTTACTCACGTAAACGTAAAACTAACTTTATTGTAAATAGATTAGGGTTCAATATTGTTTGAGTTGCGTTTTTGAAGTGATTGCCGCGTCTAGTATTTTGGCGCCAGACAACGGTTAAACGTTATCAGCCCTTTGTCTGCTATGAGCAATAGTTAGTTAATTGTTATTTGACATGCGAACGGATTTTCGGGGGTATGACGTCATCTTGCGTACTGTCTGTTAGGACTTACCTGTAAAGAAGGAAAAAGTATTGTTAGAAATGTTTGTGGTGTAAGTAAGTTAACCAAGTCACTAACACTTGAATACTGAATAACTACTTAAGTTGTACTTGAATATCATGCCATCTCTTTCATTTTGTAAAGAATTTGTATAGACAGAACCACAAAATTGAGTAACGTTTCAGTATTAGGGCATATGTATATAGCGAGAGTCTTAACAAATGATAGAAGTCATAACATAGAACTGAATATACAATAATAATATCTAAGTATAAGTTTTACTACTCAATAGGGTAGATGCCTAATTTTTATTTTGATGTCCGTCTCGTAGATTATTTTAAATGATTAGACACGTATTTTTTATTTTCTTACAGAAACGAATACTTTCAACGATAATATATTGATTTGAAATGTCGCGTGACGTCACTTCTATGTACAGTTTATACGAAAAATGACGTTTTAGCCTTCACTCCTAAACTTTAATTCGTTTTATCTAAGTAGGTATTATTTTATTATACAACAAAATAAAAAAATACGTGTCTAATGTTTTTCATTACCTAACTTACGGACTAAATAGATTTTTAATTTTCATACCCTGTCATTATCCCAATTGCCTTGTAGATACTTAATACATTTCGTTATAGATCTACTAACTTGTTACTGTAAAAAAAATAGTTAGTAGCAACAACAATAGTAAGTTCTCTTTGCCCATTACTACCTAACCAAAAAAGGGACCATCAATTGTATAGAAGTTAATAATGTTTCCTTTATTATAATTATATTACACGCTGGTGTACGTGCTACTGGACATGTACACAGTGCAAAACGAACTTCAAAGATCAAGTCACCAACGACATTTTTCAAAGTAAAAATAAAGATGGAGACTGAATCTATTTCAATCTCGCGAGTTATTTCTAACCATGTTCGGGTTTTAAGAGCTACCATAGTTTATTCGGGGCAAACCACTCGAGTCCCCAAATCTGTGCTTTACAAAAAGTCAGGCATGTGGTGGCGGTGCCGGTGGCGCGCCAGGAGACGGGCGCCGCTTACGTCACGAGAATCCACCCGTGAATTACTAATGAGTCGCCCCAAAGACCACAATGCGAGATAAGTAAGAAGGTCTTCAACTAATAGAAAGGTAATTTGGTACAATCACACGAATATTAAACACTACCTATATCTATGTGTACTTACAATTAAGTAGGTACCTATTTATTAAAATATGCAGAGGCCTTAGTACGAGTTTCATTTACGTTTAAAGTATTCGTAACGAGTACGCATTCGTCACTCTGATTGGCCGGCACCAATGAACCAACCAATCAGAGAACCGAACGCGTACTCGTTACGATTACTTTAAACGTAAAACAAACTCATACTAAGGCCTCTGTATGTACCTATTGACTGGAAATAGGGTAAATTATTAATTTATATTTTAATGTCCGTCTGGTAGATCATTTTAAATCATTACACACGTATTTTTTATTTTTTTTTACAGAAACAAATACTTTCGATTATTATATTGATTTGAAGTGTCGCGTGACGTTACTTCTATGTACATTTTAAACGTAGAATTGAAGTTTTAGCCGCCACTCTTAAATTTGATTCGTTTTATCTAAGTATAATTTTATTATAGGACATAATAAAAAAATACGTGTCTAATATTTTTTCATTACCTAGCTGACGGACTACATATTAGATTTTTAATTTTCATACCCTGTTATCATCCCAATTCGAAGATTTTTCGAAGTGGATCTTCTACATTCTCCAATGCAGTGGTTACTCACGCGATGTGTTGACGTTTTGTTGCGTCTATTCTATGGCCTTTAATTACCAACAAGACTGAGTCTTTCTAGCCAATACTTAGTGACATTTTTTAAACGTTGAGCATTTACAGACAGAATAAAGTAGGCAGGTATTATACAGACTTGTAATTACTAATTATAAATTTGAACCCGCAATGAGCAAGCGTGGTGTTTAATGCTCAAACCTTCTCGCTTGAGAAGAGGCTTTGCTCTGCAGTGGGCACTTATAGGCTGTTGATGAGATACAGACTTGTAGTAAACTAACAGAATTTTATTTAAATATCTATTTAATTGGGATGATGACAGGGTATGAAAATTAAAAATCTATTTTAGTCCACAAGTTAGGATACTGAAATGCAACTAGTTAATGTATTTTTTTTATTATTAGTCTTTCATTCGAGAAGACTGCCTCGTTGACCGAGTGGTGGAAACTGCGAATGCCGGGTAAGGGGTCTCGGGTTCGATTCCCGGCTCGGGCAAAGTATTACTGCGTTTGTAAAAACGTCAGTAGTAGCACGGAGTCTGGAAATGTATATGGCAATAGGCTCACCCCCTATTACATGGGACTCGTAACACAAATAGTGTAAAGTGGGTGTTACATTGTGCAGTGGCATTAAGTGCCGTAATGTGCACCTGTGCCTACCGCTTCGGGGATAAAAGGCGTGATGTTGTCTTTCATCCTAGAAGTTATAGTTATTCGGATCAAAGTCACCTAAAATTGTAAAGACAGTCAAAGAGTTTGAATTGGTTTATTTCTGTTAGTCATGGCTTGAACTTCACGGTCGGTAGGACAAGAACCTAACTATTGAACACAAACCTAGCATTATAGATTTATAACGAAGTAATCATTCATGAGAACATTGTCCCTCTGAATAATTTTCTGCAATTTGCCTCTAACTAGGTACGTTCTTACATAATTACGGATTGTATGACAATTTTACGCTACACGAAACACTTTCACCATAATCTGTGGCTCTAACAAAGCATGCGTATAATGTAACTGGAGAACTTTTTTTTAATGACATGGGGCGCCTTGTATAGCGCCTAGCTTTTTGGGAAGAAAATCTATTGAGTTTGGAATTTTTAGAGCAGATTTTTCTAAACGTCTGATAATTATGACACGAATTCATTTCAATGTGTTAAGCAAATTTAAAAATAAAAGTACATGTAACATCATAATTACATGGTGTAATATAAAATCGCTTCTGTATGTCCTAAATGTGTCACTATTTAGATCTTTGAAACTATACGAAGCGGATTCTGATCCTTTTTTTTAATAGATAGGGTGATTGAAGAGGAAAGTTTATCTTTTACTCCGAATTTAACGCGTGCGAAGCCACAAGCAAAATCCAGTTACATAGGTGTTATCAAAAAATATATTTATTTACTTAGTACACTTAGGCGTACAATTTCGAGCATTCTGCCTATTCGAATGGCGCCAAGTCTGCTTGCTATCTGATCTCTCGATAAGGTATCGGTTTAATGACGTCATCAACTGTCAATCCCCTAATATAAGTGATACGTAATCACAAATATGACGGTAATATCGTGCAATATAGGATATAGAATTGTTAATATTGTTTTTATCCAGTTATGATGTGATTAGGAGTTTGAAGGAATCTGTTGATTGTAATTTACTCTTTTGATTTGTCTCTGCCACTGAGCTGGTACTAGTACCCAGAGCCGTACATCCTTAAGGCAAAAAGACAATTGCCTAGGGTACCAGGTTATAGAGGGGTGCCACGAGACGAGTGTGCCCATCTGCCCATAGAGCAGCGGCGGCGCCAAAAGAAATTACGGGCGCCTATGAGGTTCTCTAGGCCGCTCTCTAGGTTTAATACGGATAAAAATGCTGCATTACGCAAAACACGAAAAGAAACTCCATGTCATTAAAAATACTAGTTAGGTACGTAGTAAAAACTTAAGTAGCCAGGTACTAGTACCTACGATGATTCTTTTTCGCCGGGACTAAACTGAAGCAACAATGAGCAATTGTTACTTTGTTACCTATTGTTTTGAACTTAGACGCCACACAAATTACTTTTGCTCTGTCTTGAGAGTCAAAATAAAGATTTGTCAGTTGAAACGCTTAAATAGGTACTTATTCACTGAGAATTTGAGTCATGTGCAAAACTAGTTAGTTGTACCTAGTTTTCACGCACAAAGTATTATAGATTAGTTAATATAAATAGTCTAGAAAAACACATGGGGTAGGTAGGTGATTTTTATCCCGACAACGCGGATGAAGCCGTTGAAAGTTTATAGTTAAAAACTAAGAGATAGGGACCTAAGTAACTAGATTTAATGATACAATAATGTAACTAGGATCCCGTGAATAGTCACTTAGACCTTTTAGTGTTGCATGCGTCCCCGTTATTTTACCACGTAAAAGAATGTTTCTGTCTCAGGTAAGAGCGAAAGAAATTAGGCAGGCAGGCAGGCAGGTAAAAAAGTGAACAATAAACGATGCAAATAGGTAAGCAATGAGCCAATGAGTGAATAAGAATTTAAGAATTGAATGTTTTGAAGAGCTTGCGTTATCTAAGATTCGTGATTTACTGGTTAGGTAGGTAGTCTAGTTAGGTATATAGGTAAGTATCTGTTTAAACGTACCTGGGTATTGCTTGCTTTTATGTAAATAAATGATGGTCAGTGAGTATACAAGGGATAAAGCTCGTTAGCTTATTAATCATTTAAACAACGATAATTTTAAGATCGTTTGCAGTTACAAATTAGTCACTAATGTTTTATAACTTAGTACCTAAAAAGGATAATTAATAAATAACTATTATTAGGTTGTTCTAGTTAAAAATTGAATTTTGAATCTTACCGGTCAATCCAAAATCTGTTGATTCCGACGACGCCTCACTGGAAGCCGCCGACAATTGGTACAATACCAACATAAAACACATGAAAACATTAACCACCGCCATTGCCATCTTAATTACTTCTTATTGTTACTAATAAACACTATGCAGTCACCATAACGACGATCTCAACACGCTAAACCATTCCAAAAACACTCATTCTCAAGTCATCACCGAAATATATAGTTCTTCTAAAAATATAACTAGTTTTACTATTATTTCCTAATTCTATCACAGTTATTGTTTATTTTCACATGAATAACACTATAGTTTTTAACAGCACGATCCTGTATTGTTAACACACGTGAATTTTTATTAGTTATTATGAACACGCTTTCACGTATGTCAATCACAAACGAACGTAGTCCACCCGCGACGACGCTCAAAGCTCGACTGAATGAATGAAAGGAACGATGCGATGAGCGAGCAAGCGAGTGCGTTCGCCCGAGAGTAGCGATGTAACCGCCTGTAAATATCGATATCGATTTATAAAAAATGCTGCACTGTTAACTATTTATTTTTCATATAGCACATTAGCCGCTCCTTTTAATAATATAACATTAGTGTTTCTGTTTTGGAAAAATAACACAATTTCAAACTTCGCTTGGCTAGTCAATAGTTTACAAAATTAATTCACACCATGAATATCTTAAAAATCTTTTAGTACTTCAAATTATTATATTAATTATTTTATACAATTAGAATACTTTAAGATAGTTTCAGAAATTCAAGTTATATCGATAGTCGATAACTGCAAGTGATATACAACACGGTAGTTTAACATAGACGCACGCACGCAGCGTGCTGTCATTGGAATAATGAAAGACGTTTTAAACTGTCTCAGCTAATAAATACGGTTCATATTTGTTTGCAATCCAATGTAAATATGGATGAAAATGTGGCGCCAGTTTTTGCATTCTGCCGCCGGCGCTAGCTAGCCTGCATCGGGTATCCTTTGTATTTTACAACAGATAGTAAAAAAAAATAACTGCAACTTTTATAACAATAAAAAATTAAAATGTTTACTTTACAAGTGGAATAACTCAAGAGCTTTATCTTTATTGTTTTGTTCGTTCACTTTCGAGTTTTAATCTTTATCTGACTACCAAAACTATTTTTCGAATACCTATGTACATTGTACATATTTTACTTATGCGGTAGATTTTTATATACCTTTTTTTTTAAGGGGGGAATATCATCGAGTGACTGCTCCCGCCTGGGTGAGGCGGGAGGGAGTGTCAGACTCTTACTGACTAAAAACCACCCCGTTCCTTCTCCTGCACGTCGAGGTTCTCCGCGACAAGATTTTTTTTTATACATATACGTCAGCCCATCATATTATGTAGTAATATAATGGGCTGACGTTTGACGGTATGACCACTATCTCGCCTGGTGGTAATCGATGATGCGGATGCGGTCTGCGATGGAGCACGTCGTCCAACAAGCAACCTACCGGGCCATGAAGACACACAGGTTCTACCCTTCAGTAAATAAAGACTCTGGCAAAGAATAACACTCCTTAGCAGCACAAGGAAGCTTGATGCGAAGCGCTTGTGCGTGTGGGTGGGACATCTACCATGAATCGGTGACGCTTCGCCGATTGTCTTGTGGTACGGTGATGGAAAGGTCTAGGGGAATCAAGTTGTGCAATTCCCCCGCACACTCACCGAAATGTATCCGGTAGAAAACCGAAGGGATCTGTGTTCGAGGCTTTGAAACCGTGCCTCCACAAGCGCACCATCGTTGATGAGCACGCCTCTCGAAGTCCTCTAACGCGTCCAACTGATATTTAGCCGAGCCATACCAAAGATGAGAGCAGTACTCCATACACGACAGAACCTGTGCTTGGTACAGGCTCAGCAATTGTTTCGGCGTGAAGTACCGTTTCTAAGTACTTACTAGATAACCTTAAGTCACATTGGTACCCACCACCCTCATTCGTGAGAAGCGAGTGTAAATATGAATATTGTATACCCACAACACCTTTTACAGAAATTAACTAACTAGATATTAGGTATTTCGCGGGTGTGGGTATTCGTATCAGAAAATGCTATAAAAAATATCAGCTACCTACTTACTGCCATAGGCACGCAATGCCTGCAATTGACACGGACAGAGGTGAGCAGGAAAGTGAGTCTCACTATGAATAAAAAATAGAAATACGTAATATTCATGTATTAATTTAGTACAACTGTAAAGTATCACATGACGGTCTTATCTCCGATGACATGGTGGTCCACATGGGTGTTCGACAAGGCTGCCTCTTATCGCCGCTTCTCTTCTTGGTCGTTCTGGATGGGATCATGCTTCGCACCACTGACAATCGGCACCGCGGGATAGAGTGGGGATTATCCAACTTCTTGGAAGACTTGGACTACGGTCTACGCCGATGACCTATGCCTGCTGAGTTATACCCACGCCGACATGCAAGCAAAATTGGACGACCCGCGGCAGTAGGGGGCAAAAGCTATCCTAAAAATCAAACTCAAACCCAAGAAGACCAAAGAAATTAGAACTGGTGTGAAGAACCCCATACCGTTGCTGATTGGCACAGAGGCAGTGGAACGCGTCGACAAATTTACCTACCTCGGGAGCGTCGTGTCAGAGACTGGAGGTACTGAAGAGGACATCACTTCAATGATCGCCCGAGTTACTTTCGCGCATCTGAGACCTGTGTGGCAGTCACGGTCACTAACCCGAAGGATTAAACTGAAAATCTTCGGCTCGAGACCATCCCCAATATAGAGCTTTTGGAGAAATGTCACGAAAGCCCAATCGACCGCCAGATCAAGCGCCGCAAGTGGGGATGGATAGGGCACACGCTCCGAAGGGATCCTGACCACATAGTCACATACCCAAGCAAGCCTTGGACTGGAATCTCTAAGAGAAAAGAAAAATAAAATAAAACCTGGCGTCGCACCTTACTGGCAGAAGCGGCGGGCATCGGTATGACATGAAGCGAGATAAGCGGGAAACTCAAGACAGATCGCGATGGAGAACTTCAGTGGACGCCCTCTGCCCCATCTAGGGGACACAGGATATTAAATCAAGTAAGTCAATCAGTACAACAATGTAAAATGCTTTTTTTCAATTACAATAATATTTAAATTATGCGCCTAATTACAGATTTATAGCAATCGCTGCAAAACGTATTGCCGGTACGAAATGTCCAGGCGCTTAAAATATAAATGTGGTTTGTTCAACCTGTGTCCTGTGTGTGTGGCTTTGCTAGATAGTGTCCTCTGTTGCAGAATGCCAGTATAATCAACCCCAAAAAGTCTGCTTTATCTTTACCTAATGCACGCATCGTATTGCTACTCACCCTTATTATATGGGACTCATACACATAAATAGTGAAAAGTCAGTGTTACATTGTACAGAGGCATTAAGTGCCATAATGTGCGTCTCTGCCTACCTCTTAGGGGATAAAAGACGTGACGTTATATTATGTTATAATTATTGTTCCTGAGGAGTTAACCCTATTTTAGAGACTTGGTTTCGTGGATTAAAAGAATGACGTACTCGTTACATAATATTTTATTTATATAATAAGATGTAAAGTAATGGACAATTGGCTATCGATTATCGATAACTTTAACACCTCACTAACTAAACAATCTTAAATTAAGAACAAAGCGCGTGCCATTATAACTAAAAATAGGTGTAATATAAAACGGACCCTTGCCTAGACCAATGTCGCGGAGAACCTAACGGGTTACCGGGGCTCCGGCTCCACGTGCAAGTGAAGGAACGGGGTGGTTTTTAGTCACTAAGAGTCTGACACTCCCTCCCGCCTCACCCAGGCGGGAGCAGTCATTCGATGATTTTCACCCCTTAAAAAAAGCCTTTGCAGCGAAGCACGTGAGCGAACCCCCTCACGTCCCAGCCGTAGCGAGATATTCCGGGCGTAGGTGATCGCGAGACGATCTCTCTTCACCCAATTTTACGGTATATGAAAAATTATTAATATTTTGTGTCATCCTCATGTTGTTTTCTTTCTCCTGACTGACTGGATATTGGTGTTACATTGGAGATTTGAGAACAATGGTTCTCACATAATTGAACCAACGAAACATAATATAACATAAAATAACATCACGCCTTTTATTCCCGAAGGAGTATGCAGAGGTGCACATTATAGTACTTAATGCCACTGTACAATGTAACACCCACTTTTCGCTATTAATGTTATGAGTCCCATGTAATAGGGGCTGAGCCTATTGTCATATACCGGGCACAATTCAGACTCCGTGCTACTACTGAGATACTTGGCCCGACCCTGGAATCGGACTCGACTCTTGTCGCAATGGCGACCACTCGACACTTAAATAAAAATAAATTTCCGTTCGTTAGTCTCGCTAAAACTCGAGAACGACTGAACTGATTTGGCTGATTTTGGCTGTCTTGAATGTTTGTGGAAATCCAGGGAAGGTTTAAGAGAAGAGAAAAAAAAGTCAGCGGTACAAAGTTGGCCGAGTCAGCTAGTTTAAAATAAAACCAGGGTCTAATTATAATACAAGTGTAATGTGCAAATAGGGTGATAATTATAACATTTAAAAATATTCAGTCTTTAGTGTAACGATGACTAATCACCGATAGGGATAACCATTTGTGTCAGCCATGTTGAAATCAAAGTCTTTCAATCCGAGTTCTTCTTCTGAAGGTGGAAAAACGCAGTCCAAATCCACGTATAATTGTTTCTGGACTGTCAATTTTTCCACAATATTTGCGAATGTGGGTCTGTCTGTTGGGTTCTCAGACCAACATTCGACCATGAGCTGGTAGAGTCTGGTCGAAGCTCTAACTGGCTTCGGGAGACGGCCTCCACCGGCCAGGAACGGAGGAACTTGGTGATTGCTCAGCTCAGCGTATGGGAAGCCACCTGGAAAGCCAAACGGAGTTCATTAAGTGCTTGTATTTAAACGAGATAATTTTATGCCTTTGGTATTTGGGACAAATATCGCTGCTATGTTGCATATTATAATAGGGATGGTGACAGGGTATGAAAATAAAAATCTAATTAGTCCGTCAGTTAGATAATGAAAAAATATTAGAAACGTGTTTTTTATTTTGTCGTCTAAGAAAACAAACAATAACAACAAGGATAAAACGAATCAAAGCTTAGGAATGGGACCTCCCACTCCTAAACTTTGATTCGTTTTATCAAATCGTAGTTACCTAACTACGTCATTTTTGAGTAAGTATAAATCGTACACAAAAGTGACGTCATGTCATGCGATATTTCTAATCAATATACCGTCGATAGTATTCGTTTCCGTAAGGAAATAAAAAAACGCTGCCAAATGTTTTTAAATAATAGACGGACTTTAAAATAAAAAAATATCATCTACCCTATTATATCCTTTCGGCACATACAGGTTTAATATCACAGTATACTAGTAAAGAAGTGAGTCTATATGTTAACTTTTCTACTAAATAAAACTAAACTCAAAAACGCTTGTTATTTGTCTACTTGTATAGTTTAATCTTCTGAACGAACAGACGGATATGAATAGGGTTGCCACCTCTTTTTGGTATTTAACTCGTCGAGTACCGTCATTATAGACACAGTTTAAACTGTCAAACACCAAGCGGTCACCGGTTACCGCAACCTATTGTTCTATAATTGTGTCTATAATGACGGTACTCAACGAGTTAAAGTACATTGACGATTATAGGTAAGAAAAACATGTACACAGTACAAAAATAAAGTACAATTTATTCTTATGTATTTAAAAATATTTATGTTTTATTGCTTTTTGCAGTTTGTATTAAATTAGTATCTTTACTAAACAATTGCATTGAAATACTAAACAATTGTATCTTTACTTGAAATTATCTAAGTGGCGCTGGCGAGTAGCGAAATCGATTCAACATAAATAGATAAATATCGGCATCGAATCAATAAGTTTACCGAAAAATTAGTTTTAAAAGTTTGCAAACATAAAGTATTTTCGTGTACTTTATTATTCTTATAAAGTATAGAGTACAATTACCTTAAATAACGTACAATACTTTATTATAAAGTACGGGTGGCAATACTAGATATGAATCTAATTTGAACAAGAATATTCTACTTAAATTACATATTCTATGCGGACCAAATTGTGGGAAAGCTAGTTATCATAAAATGAGAATTTATAGTCTTACCTAAGGTTGCAATTTCCCACAGCAAAACAGCGAAAGCCCACACGTCACTAGCACTGCAATATTGGGAATGCAAGATGGCTTCTGGAGCCAGCCATCGAAGGGGCACAGGTCTGGCTCTCGTGTGGACGTACACTCCCGACCTTGAGAGACCAAAGTCTGCTACCTTTAGTAGACCAGAACCGTCTACTAATATGTTCCGGGCTGCCAGGTCCCTGTAAGTCAGAATAGTTGCAGAGTTAAAAATAATTAATACTTTTTTATGGGATAAGTCGGTAAACGAGCAGACGGATCACGTGATGGTAAGCAATCGGCGTCGCCCATGGACACCTGGAACACCAGAGGCGTTACAAGAGCGTTATCAGCCAGCCTTTTGAGATTAGGAATTTGAGGAATGTTGGGGATTCAGGGACTGGTAATAGGGAGAAGGGGGGGATACAGATTATGGGGGGGGGGAATTAGGCATCCGGTAACCTCACTCACACGACGAAACACAACACAACGTTGTTTCACGTCGGTCTTCTATGAGGCCGTGGTATCACTCCGGTCGAGCCGGCCCATTCATGCCGAAGCATGGCTCTCCCATACTTAAATACTCTATCAATATAATCATGATGGTTGATAGATCATGATCACCAACTTGTTGAAGTACAGATTAAAGTCTTTCACATCTACATGATAGTAAAAATAGTGTGTCTATTCATTTAATACTAGCTGTTGCCCGCGATTTCGTTCGCGTTCGGAATAGTGATTCACAGCTCCTCCTCCTGATAGCGTGACAATATGTAGCCTATATGTTGACTCGACTTGTTAGTAATATTCATGCAAAATTTGAAGTAAATCCATGTAGTACTTTTTGAGTTTAGCCCGGACATACATACAGACAAACAGACAAAAATTCTATAAACCATACTTTTAGCTTCGGTGCCGTTTGTAGATCATACCACAAGCATTATTTATACCTACAGTTTGTACTTTTCTACGATTTTATTATATTTATAGATTGTTAATAGTATCTATACAGATAAATAAATAGGAATGTCTGTTTTAATATCAAAACAACCGCTTTTCATTACATGGATATGAATATGCATAGGTACGATACATATACCAAAATTACATTTCATTCAATTTTATCTGTCTGTTTGTACTGGCTAATCTTTGGAATGGCTGGACCGGTTTTGCAAGACTTCTATTGGCTGGTAGCAGATGTACTAAGGAGTAACATAGGCTACATTTATTCAAGAAACGAGAAATAAAAAAAAAAATTCAAAATGTTTTAATTGTACGCGGAAGAAGTCGCAGCCAGTTTATATATCGATATGAATAACCATTTTCGGTTTCAAAATCAGATTTGAGAAAAAACTGCAAGTGCTTGCTGTTATATCTTTCGAGGATATCAAAGTCCATCAATTCCAAATATACGTTTAATACAAAAAATAGTGTTACACGGTCGGTGGGCCAAAGGAAAGTGAACAACTGATTTCTATTAAATATAATATGCGCCTGTACAAAACATAATAGCAGCAATAGCGGACGCCTTTTATTTGCATTATATTTTTGGAAGGCGTTTCTCAACACTTGCAACCACTTGGTCACTAGGTATCTACTCGTTTTCTTATTACACAAACTGAAGAGATGTTATAAGGGAAAATAATAAATTAATTTAATTAATCCATGCATCTTTTTCCAAAACCAGATTTGTCCATTGAGATATAGAGTTGAAAATTGCGGAATATTAAATCGGATGATTCGCCAACCTTGAGGTTTGCTCCTAGCAACAGTTGCTAGGCAACGTGAAAGCTGAATGTTTCGGAGCATCGAACGCCCGAATTTTGTCAGTAGCCCGTACTAAGATTATTATTTTTTTTACATAATTATACGTTGACTCCAAAATTAATTAAATAAAAGAACTTGTAATTAAGATACATTAGAAATAGGTAAAATTATATATCTTGTTTTGAATAAACCAAATACTTATATTATTCTGATTTGAATGACATTTTAAACATTTTCGGTGTAAAGAAATGACTGGACTGTTGACCGTTGACTGGACCAAATACCTTATTAATAAGGTTGTTCTATATTCAAATTTTTATTTATTGACAGATAGAGTTTGTAACACGTTATTACAATACGAAAAATACAATCTACGTGAGAACCTCCTTCGTGTTTTGAAGTCGGTTAAAAATGAAACTCATCTATGATGGCGTAAATTAAATAAGTTTATTTGGCGTGTAATCTGAATGCCGACCTGAAGTTTCTATTTTAAATTTAATATATCTTTCTCCGGGGCTCACAGACCCCGGGAATATAGCTGTCAACGGGACCCCTTCTCGGAAATCCTCGGTATTTTCCTCGTACAGTTACCGACCTGCGCATTACGTTGTTTTGAATTCCTGCCCTCATGGTTTTGGCTTAGGGACTGTGCACATAGGCTCTGTTCCTGACAAATATACCACTACAACATTGTTTTTTTGTTAATAATATTGTTTTTAAGAAAAAAATACGTCGGTAATGTTTTTTTGAATTGATTTGATGGTGACAGATCATTAGAGTAACGGACCGATATAATATATTATATGTTATTATTATTATCTTTTGTTATGCTTGAATGGTGTAAGTAATTACTTAGATATTGTATGTTACTAACTGTTCCGAATATCGTACCGTCTTGTAATCGACATTATCTCATCCAAATAAACAGTAGGAGGAAAGGAGGAAGAACATTAATTATCTCTTTCGGATTACTTCGATGTTATATAAAAAAAAACGCAAAACTAACATAACATCATAACATCATGCCTTTTATCCCCGAAGGGGTAGGCAAAGGTGTAAATTATGCCACTGTACAATGTAACACCCACTTTTCACTATTTACCATAACTTAACCTCTGTTAAGATTTTCCTAGATTTTATCTATTCTTATTTTTTTGAGGGGGGAAAAGCAATCAATGACTTCTGCCGCCCGGTTGAGGCGAGACTGAATGTCAGACTCTTACTAACTAAAAACCACCCCGTTCCTACTCTTACTCTTGCACGTATCTGCATCAGCCCTATTAGGCCCCATCTATGGTGGTCTGATGGCTACTCTTTATAGGGTCTGGCCACTTAATAGTTATACAACGAAACACAACCCAAACGTTATTTCACGCCGGTTTTTGTGGGGCTTCTACGTTCATTAAGTGTGGGAGAGCCATACTTCGGCACGGATGGGCCGGCTCGACCGGAGTGATACCACGGCCGAGCAGAAAACCGACGTGAAACAACGCTTGCTTTGTGTTTAGTCGTGTGAGTGAGGTTCCTCCAGGCCCAATTACCCCCCTCCCGCCTTCCTCAATATCTGAATCCCCAACAATCCTTAAATTCCTAATCCCAAAAGGCCGGTAACGCACTTGTAACGCTTCTATGGTGTTCCAGGTGTGCATGGGCGACGCCAATTGCTTACCATCAGGTGATCCGTCTGCTCGTTTACCAGCTTATGCCATAGAACCGACCTTTTTAACCGACTTTTAAAAAGACGGAGGAATAATAAAATTTTTGTGAATATTAGTTACCTGTGCGTAATTCCTCTTTCCTCCAAATGCCTCATACCCAAAGCAACTTGCAGTGCATATTCTCTCATAGTGCTGCCATCTAACTGTAGAGCAGGCTCAGCTACATAATGGTCCCTTTTCTTATCACTGTCTACATACAATTTGCCATCGCCTTCCGATAAAGCGGGATCTGAATCACTAAGATTCGTGTATTCAGCTGAAATTAAAAAATAAATTGCGTGCTATATTATTATAGTTTTCTGTCTAAAAACCATCCGTGTAAGCCTTTCAATAAGGTAGATGCCTAATTTTTATTTTAATGTCCGTCTGGTAGATTATTTTAAATAATTAGACACGTATTTTTTATTTTCTTACAGAAACGAATACTCTCGACGATATATTGGTTTGAAATGTCGCGTGACGTCACTTATATGAACAGTTTATACGTAGAAATGACGTTTTAGCCCCCACTCCTGAACTTTGATTCGTTTTATATAAGTTTTATTTTATTATACAACAAAGTAAAAAAATACGTGTTTAATATTTTTTCAATACCTAACTTTCGGACTAATTAGATTTTTAATTTTCATACCCTGTCATCATCCCAAATAAGCATACAGATTATTGTTATAGATGATTTAAACCAATGTATGCTTAATATAGAATAAAAACATTCTACCAATGTATATAAGTATGTGTATATATATACATATCCATGTACGAACCTTATACATTATTCTGTTTGAATATAGCCCCTTAAATATTTTGATTGAAGAGGTTCAAGAATAAACATTGCTCACAGAAATTCAACAGGCGTTCCAAATTAGAGTTGAGCTTTTATTTGCTATCTTATTTAATGCGGCTCTTTGTTCAATTTGCGTTAAATAGATTCATTTGACGCTCGTTTTTGAACTAGCATATAAAAAACCTAATCGTTTGCTTTTAGTTAAATAAAATAAGGATGTTTCAATCTTGTGAAATTAAATACTTTTTACGATATACTAAAATCAGATGGTTCTGTGATTTTAAGTTATAGTAATAGTTTTCAACAATAACTTGACTGCACGGTTGGTGCGGTGGCTAGGTAACTGGCTGCCGCGCAACGTGTCGCGGGTTCGATTCCCGTACGGAACAACTCTTTGTGTAATCCACTGATGGTTGTTCCGGGTCTGGGTGTCATTTGTATGTGAATTTATATATTTGTAAACGCACCCACGATACAGAAGACAATCCTAGTGTGGAGCAACGTCTTTATAAAAAATATAAATATAAATATAAAAAATACTTGATAGCGACGATATATTTTTTTGTATTTGCCAAATTTTAGAGCCCCTACAGCGGTCACTTCACGGAACTAAAATATGGCGTAAAATTAACTTCCTGGTTATTGAGTATCAAAAAATACAAGTTTTTAAACTCATAGAGGTAATGATCATTAATCCGACTGCATCTGTTCGTTAACTTGTATATTTTTTAGAAGAAACTAAGTGGATTTGATTTATCAGTATTAATATTGAAAATGTCATGATTTTTCACATTAGTAACATAATGTAACCTATAATATCTTCTGTTATCCATTAGAAAATACTTACAATCTCCTTCAGAAGGTCTTCCTTGTGAACTGTCGACTCTTCTTGTAGTGTTGGAGAGTTGATTATCTTTCTTTCTTCCTCTTGCAGCTCTGAGAAGTGAGAGAAGATCCCCTCTTGGTGCGTGTTCTAAGAGCGCTATAAGCGGCGCCCGTCTGGTGCAACAAGCTATTAGTCTAATAACATGCTTATGTGAACCAACATGTTTGAGCATTTCGATCTCTCGTAGGAAGTCCTGCATTTCTTCCTCTGACACTTCCTCTGTAACGGAAGAAAATATATTATGTAGGTATAGAAAATATAAATTGTGTAACGCGGGTTTTAAAAAAAATACTATCTAGTCTATGATTAGTCGATGGTTTTATTATCTGTGGTGGCAACCTGGTAACGTAACGCAGGACGCCAATAGGCGCGCGCTCGCGGCCACCCCTTCGGGGTGCGAGTGGAGAAAGAGACTAAAGAGAGAGAGCCCGACCACTGACGCGTACGGACGTGTTATAAAATCCTCCGCGGCTCTAAGTCGCGTCGCCATCTTTTTTTATCTAGAACTTTCTTATATTAATCCGAAAAATATAAAAAAAAACCGCATCAAAATCCGTTGCGTTGCTTTAAAGATCTAAGCATACACAGGGACAGACAGACGGCGGATAGCGACTTTGTTTTATACTATTAGAATAATTTTGACCACAGAGAAGTTTCCAATTAGATGAAAATTTTGTCTGAAGCTCGTAATAACTCACTACAAAGTTACCTAAGAAATAACTTGGAACAAGAAGTTCAAGAGTGCATCCATGAACATTACGGACCGCTAACTTTCATTTCCTAGTCGCTAGACATTTTATGTAATCTGTGTCGAGCATGCGAAATTAGCTAAGTACCTATTGCGCTTTATTACTATATTAAAAAAATAGAAGTTCACATAACATCACGCCTTTTATCCCCGAAAGGGTAGGCAGAGGTGCACATTACGGCACTTAATGCCACTGTACAATGTAACACCCATTTTTCACTGTTTGTGTTATGAGTCCCGTGTAATAGGGGGCGAGCCTATTGGTTTGTGGACGAATGTGACTCGGTTTAGAGTAAATAACGTATTTTTTTAAATTTGCCTCTTGTTAAATACGGAACTCCTAAGTAAGTTAAAGTTCACCTAAGTATATGTATTTTGATTTTCGCTAACCTATAAGTGACACCTAAAACTAAGGGTTTAGTTTAGTTGTTCTCTCACGTACCATATCTTAACTAAGTATTTCTTAGTTTAGGGGTGAGTCTTTGGTTGGATTCCTTTTCTTTTTGTGATATGCACCCAAGGAATCACTTATTATACTACCTAGTTATTTTTCTATATTGTTGTTTACCGTTTTTTTTGCATGTGGTGTTAACCTATAATTAATTGTTGCACTTGTAAATGGTTTTTTAGCTATTTTATCAGTAAATATAGTGTAAACAATTGTTAGTTAACCAAAATAAATAAATAAATTCCTGGGTGTAGACAATTCTTGGCTACTATAACCGTGCATATTCCAAAAGGGTAGGCAGAAGTTAAACCCAAATAATAATGTATAACATGGATACCTGTGAGCATTTTGGCAGCTACCGTGATGGTCTCTCCTCCAGGCATGTCTAACTGGGCGGCATGCACTCTGCCGAAGGCTCCACTGCCTATCAGAGCTCCTAGGTGCACTCTAGACCTGCTTACTTCCCATTCATCAGCTTCATCTTCAATCTAGAACAATACATATTAATTTTAAAAACTAAAATGTTGCCCTACCTTAGGATTTTATCCTGTGTCGTGGGTGCGTTCACAAACATACAAGTTCACATACACATCACACCCAGACCCGGAACAACAATATGTGGATCATACAAAGAGTTGTTCTGTGCGGGAATCGAACCCGCGACACGTTGCGCGGCAGCCAGTTGCCCAGCCACGGCGCCAACCGTGCAGTCTATTACTATCAACATGGTTTATGTCCGTCGTGTAATCGAGGCATACCTGACGGACAGGTCCGTCATCTACCCTGGTCACCGGGGCGAGTGGAACCGGCGAGAGATGTCACGCGGTGTTCCACAGGGTTCGGTTCTGGGGCCGCTCCTGTGGAACATCGGTTATGACTGGGTGCTGCGCACCGACCTCACGA